CTTGCACAACAGTGGTCTTGGACCAAGGCTGCCCCTGGTGCCCCACACGTATACACTGACACCCTCAATTCTTGCAAGATAGACACTTCCACTCCTATTTTATGGCTCTGCAAACCAAGGCCAGAGAGCATATGAAACTGCCCTGGTTACACAACTAGAGATATTAATGAAGTAGTGCTGACACAAATGCAGCCCTAACTATGTGTCAGACTCTACTTTAAGGACTTTACAGTCATTGCCCTACTTCACCCTGTGAGGAAGGGGCTATTGTACTCTGACTTTACACAAGAAGATTCGGTTATTTGCCCATGGTCAAATAGCTTCAGAACAGAGCCAGCACCTAATCCCAGGCAATCGGTTCCCAGGTCAGTACCAAACCCATCTCCTGTGGGAAGCAAAGTGATAGAGGTGAAATCAAAGCCTTCCTTTGTTTACTCCAAAGGCCATACCTGGCTCATCGTATCAAAGGATGAAGCTGGATAAAAGGAAATCAGACTTGAAGATAGAATACCCTGTACCAAGATCCAGCTAGGGTGTCTGAGGACAAGTAACAAGAGGACAAGTAACAAAATCCCAAGTGCCCCTCGGTAGACTAACCCCATGACTCACTGGCCAAAGCTGGGCACCACACCAGGGCTCTCTTAGCTACCTAACAGTTGAGAAGCCTCTGTGATGGGACCTGCAAGGATGAAGGGTTGACCAGTCAATGGTGCCTGCCACAGCCACGCAGGACAATTGGTGCTTCAGCTGAGTATCTACCCACTGCTTCAGGAAACCACCGACTGACCGCCAGCTCTGGCTGGCACTGTACCCACAGTAGGAATCAAGAAGCAAAGCACCTGCTTCTTGTCATTTAAGGAGCTTACAAGTGGGGGCTTGGAACAGATTAGACGAGCAGACCAGCCATTGTGATATGTGGCCACACCTCATCATGGGGTGCATCCCAAGGCTGGTGGAAACAGCGGGGAGCCAGGTCATATCTAGGGGAAGGGGCAAGGGAACTGCTTTGCCGAAGAGCCACCACTTTTAAGAAAATAAGTTAGCCAGAAGGACACGGGAGGCAGGAGGGAATTCAACTCGGCAGAGGGGCCAGCGTGTGCAGAGCTGGGGGCATGGAAAGTGTGGCCAGCTGTGGGGACCAGGTTCAGTGTGGCTGCAGCGGAGATGCTGGCTTTGATGGACAGAGACAAGACTGAGAGTGGACAGGCCACATCACAGCAGGTGCTGTACACCTCGTGTGGGGATTTAATCTCAAACCCTTACCTCCACCTTGGGGAGCTATTCTATCACCAGTTCTCAGTCACAAGGAAGATAATGGAGGCTCCCTAAGAATCCTTCAGAAGCTGGGTGAATACATTTGTGAGGTATACACACAATGGAATCCCATTATTCCATACCCTGAATGGACCTGGAGGACATCATAGTAAGTGAAAGAAGCCAGGCATGGGAAGACAGACGCCATGTGGTCGCACTCACAGGGAGCTAAGAAGCTGATATCATGGAAGTAGTGAATGGAGCAGTGGTTGCTGGAGGCCAGGCAGGACAAGGTCTGGGAAGATGGGGAAAGTGGACCTGAGGGCAGGGAGTTGCAGTTGGACACAGGAATGTGTTCTGGTGAGCTACTGCACAGCGGGGTCACTATGGCTAATAATATACTTCAAAATACTTAGAAGAGAGGATTTGGAAAGTTCTTACCACAAATAAAGCACAACCATTTAAGATGATGCTCATGCCAATTACCCCAGTTTGATCATTGCACACAATGTTTACAGGTATTGAAACATCACATTGTTCTCCTTAAATGTGTGTGATTATGTATCAATCAAAAATAAAGCCAGAAGAAGAATATGGAGGCTCAGCAGAACCACCAAGGTCCCATTCACAATGGAATAAGAACCAGAGCCAGGGTTCAAACCACACTGGTCTGACACTAGAACCCTCTCCCTGTGGTATTACAACGTAAAGACTGCCTTTGCACTGCTTGTGAAGCTGTGTGCCCTGTTACGTAACCCCCTAAAAGCCTCTTTTCTATGGTGACAAGGGCAATGTCATTCCAGAAACTAAGATTTGTTGCCTTTATAAATGAGAGCTGCATGTGTTGCCTCCTGCTCATTATAAAAGCTCGCTTCCTACCCAAATAAATAATGAACTTGGAGCTGTCTGCGTTCAGCCATAGGAAGATGCATCATTCTATTTCTTCCATGATGGAAGAACTAGCGGCAGCCCTAATAAAAATGACTGCTTTTCAATTCTTTCAACAGGGTAAATAAAACTCCCTTGTGATTAACAGGAAATTGTTTTGCTACAGAGTTGTCAAACCTAACGAGATGGGACGGGGACAGGGAGAAGATGGGAGAGAGAGTGGGTAGTGGTTCTTTCCCAGCGGTGCTCTCGCTCCAAGGACAGTGCAAACGGCTGGAGTAGAAAAGATACTTTTACCTCCTTTCAGGAAATTACTCTGTCTGCTGAATGACATCCCAGTATCCTGGCCTGGAGGCAGAAAGGGAGCTCCATTGTTAACAACAGTAAGAATTTCAGGTTTGGGCCTCAACTCTTTTCCCATTCACTTATTCTACAACTATTTTAAAGGCTTGTGAGTATTTGTTCACTAATTAAATATTCATTGCACATCAGTTGGATTCCAGGCCAGGGCTGTGCTTTGGGGCTGAGCCGTGAAGACCACGAAAGGTGTGCACAGTCTGGTGGTGACAGAAGCACACTCACATCGGCTTACGAGACTCGTGCTATAAGATCTATGTTCTGGAAATAAAAGTAGTAGATTTTTATAGTTTCTTCACTCTTTTGGTAAATAGGAGAGAAAAGCCATTTTGCCGCCTGCTGTCAGCTACAATTACAAACCAAAGTTAGTAAAAGATTAACCAGAAATGAAAACTGAAAAAGGTGATTGTCTTTGTAAAGTATGGGCAGATCAGACAGAGTTATGGAGGCAAATAAGATGCTCAAGAAGGGAGAAAAGAAAGAGAGTTAGTTCACAAAGGGCGGGTTTTCAGGATCTGGAGCCTCACAGAGGCTGTGATCCTGCTACACACCTGGATCCAAGACAGGAATTGAGGGACTTGGCTGCAGGAACTGGGGAGGGACTGCCGTGTCCAGAAGATCACCCCGAAAGGAGTCGGGACACGATTGACAATTGAGGGTCATAGCAGGACCAGGAGACCATAAAAGGAAGGTGTTGGAAAGGGACACCTTGTCCTCACTGTCTTTCCTATCACGGTTTTTCTCATCTTGGGAATTGGAAGGTTTCCTGGAGGAAGTAACACTTGCACTGGATCTTGATAGATGAATAGCAGTTTGTTAGATGATGAAGGAAATAAAAAATTTTTTCAAGATGGAAAAAAATAGAGTCAAAGCAAGAAGAAATAGGCTGAAAGTAGACTCTAAGAGACCTCATACATCATGGATAAAAGTTTGGTTTTTCTAGCAGGGCATTGCGAAGCTGTTGAATGATTTTAAACCAGATGAATAACATGATCATATTCGCTTTTATAGAAGATCCGTTTGTCTGTAGGATGGATATTGGAGAAGACAAAGGCTGATATCATAAAAAGCAGGTAAAAAGTGATAGCCTTGACCAGGACCATAGTCACAGAGATGGAGGTAGGGAGTGGTTTGGTAGTAATTGGCTGATTAGATGGAAGAGAGATGTATGGGAGAGGGAAGCAACAGGCTGATTCTCAGGATTCTGGCTAAGGTGACTGTGCATAGCACTATTTGCCAGAATTAGAAACAAGGGAAGAGAAACAGGTTTGGGAGAAGAAAAGCAACAGCTTTGGTCAAAAGCACAAGGAGTTCCATGTATCTACAGGAAATCTGGGTGGACTTGCTGAGGAGCATTACCTGGTTTGAATTGAGTTCAGGAAAGGGAGAGCTGGGCTATAAAGGAGACATAGGACACAGGAGCAAAGTGGAATTAAGGCCATGGTGGTACAGAGAGAAACCAGGAGGAATATGGGAGAGAGAAGAGGAGGGCTTACTGCTAGGTGGCCCTGTAGCCCATCTACAGGATGACATAGCAGTGCCACCTGCACTTAGTGGTAGGAGCACTGAAAGAGGAAATGCTGCTAAAGTGACACTAGAGATTTTGCAGAAGCAGAGAAAGGACCAAAGGCTAAGAACCTTGGTTTTATACTGCATTCGGAGAAGAAATGTATCTGCTTTATGCTTAAAGAACAACATGATTTTATCTTTGTGCTTCTTCATTTCCTTGTAGATCTGCCTCTCCTTGCTGTGTGCAGTGTAAGAGAATAGCAACTACATCTCATAGTTGTTCATATTTCATATTTCCCTAAATCCACAGCACAAAACAAGTATCCACTAAAAACACAAATATGGCTGAGTGACTAACTAGTGGGGGGAAAAAAAGACTTCAGATTTGGTATATAGTCCCATTGCTCCAGCACTTCTTTATAACTGACAAAGCACTCACTTGCTCTGCATCCTGTCCTCTTCCACTGGAAAAAGGTGATTAATGTCCTTTCCCTGTGTGAGAGTGGTGGTCCAAAGATTAATAGAGTCAGAATCCCTTGGAAATACTTGAGTAAGAAATGAGCTGTATTGTTGTCCTGCTTTAATTAATTTGAAAATCATCCTATATTGTTCAAATGGCAACTGACTCATCCAAAGTGGGTGTTTGGAAGTGATAAATGGAAAGTCTGAAGCTTTTCTCATTAATTAATTTGGCTGTGAAAATAAAAGCTGGCTCACATTCCCAGTGAAACAAAAATGGACCAAAAGGTACCCGAGACTTTAGGGCTGGCGTGGAACAGCATAAATACTACCCTGAGTACAGGCTCACTCTTTGGACATCAAGATATAATTTTATGTATATAATATGTAACATATGATTATTTCCAAATTTTCTAAAATGAGCACATGCTATTTTACAATAAAAACTTAATTTGAAAAACTTTAAAATAAAAGTAATCAACATAAATAGGCATCATATAAAATAAACAGAATATATATTTATAACAGTAAGTATAATAATAAAGATTAGAGTCAGTGTTTGTTTTTCTCTTTATCTGTTTGAGACTATTTTATTAATACTCAATAATGTTATTTTCCCCTTTACTCTGTTACCCAATAAACCAGGGGGCTTTAGCTGCAAGCAACAGAAAGAGTTCACAAGGAAATCAGGGAGCAAGGAAGGGATTATTCCAGGGGGTCCCACGGGAACGGCGCTCAGCCTCTTCTAGGCACAACTGTGAGTCTGGCCCCACCCCAACGCCACCCAATTAGGAAAGGAAGATCTGGTCTGCCCAGTGTTGGCCATGTTTCTGCTTATGGCCTGGCCACAGTAGGACACCTTGCCAACTGTCTCAGCCAGATTGTGTCTGAAGGACTTTGGTCATTCATCAAAGAGGATGTTAATCTCAATCCCACAGAAAAGAGAATGGATGCTAAAGAAGCATAAACAACAGAGGCCTGCCACATTAAGGAATAATTTTCCTCTGCAACTCTTATTAGGTATAATTTACAAACAAACAATAAAATTTCAACCTGACCCCTTAATCCACTGCTGAATTGCTTTGTTAGACAATCCTTCCCTGAATGTCGATTCCACTTCCATTTATCTGTATCAGAAGAGAGGCCAACATGGTGGTAGACGTGGAAGCTGCATGTTTGGAGGATCAGTTGTGAAAGTTGGGGAAATGGACTAGAGTATTAATGGACTAGATTGGAGGAGATGAGGAGAGCAGATGCAGGGTGAAATGAGCCATCCTTGGCATGATTGCAAAGGGCGACCTGCTGGTGACAAAGGGTGGAGGGCTGTTCTCTCTCTTTCCTGAAGGCCCCAGCAAGAACCGATGGTGGAAGTTCAAAGGAGGTGCATGTCATCTCAACAACTGGAGAACTTTTTAACAATCAGATGTACCCCTCTCTGGAAAGTTGGAAGCCTCTGTCTCAAGGGGGGCAAATAGTAGTTCCAGCCTGGGCCAAGGTTAGGTTACACGATCTCCTTCTGAACCCTGAGAGTCTGTGGTCCTATGAGCCTATGTCTGCAAGCCTAACACATGTCCTGCTAAGAGAGATTCCTTGCCCGTAGCAGCTACTTGGTCATATCCTGTCTCGGGCTCAGCCTCTCCTTTTCACTTGGTTTGCCTGCAAACCTGTGTTTAGAGAAGGACTCCCAAGCATTGCTCACTGCAGGAGAATGTGGGGTTTTCCTCAACTAAGTACAGCAAGCAGGAGAGGCAGGAAAAAGCACAAGCAGATTAGAAATTGGAATTCTTGAGATTAAATCTCAGCTCTGTCACTTTTCACTGGGGGATTGAGACAAGTTCACTTGAGTTTTATGATTCTCATTTTATTCATAGATTAAAAGTAGATCTTGATAACGACAATAAACAGTCTGCTTATGGAGCATTTTGTTTTAAAGTTGTAATATCTGGTGTCCATTGAGTCTTGTTAATGTGCTAGATCACTGACATGCATTATTTCACTTAATCCTTCTGACAGTCCCATGATTGGAAGATTCCATTATTCCTACTTCACAGATAAGAAAACTGAGGCTTAGAGAGGTTAAAGTATTTGTCTAAATGTTGGACTAACATTAAAATCAATCTTGCCTGTAAGCTGATTGTGTTCCAGTGCCAGCCGACAGTGGTCTCAGTTACATAAGCTGGCCCATCTCCTACTGGACTTAGCAGAGGTTCCTTTATGTAATTGGGACTTAGGAAACATTAATTCTCTTCTGTTCCTCATCCTTGTGACTTTAACTTTCTAAAACATTCATCTTTAAGTGTTGGGCCTGTTTGCTTTCATCCTCAAGCTGGTCACAAGATGACGCAAGCAGTCCCAGGTGCCGCCCTGTGACTTCTAGTTCTCTTTCAGGAGCAAAAACACTTTCCCAGAAGCCACCTCTCACATCCTACTTAGCACAGTTAAGCTACAGTCTTGTTCTAAGTTGGTTGCTGGAAAAAGCAGATGAATACCATTAACTTTGGGGTCTGCAGAACACCTTCTGGCAGATGCTTGGCTTCATAAGTCTGCCTTTTATGTGGAAGGGAAAAGGAGGTACTGAGTGCTGAGTAGATGACCAACTGTCTCCCCCTTCCATTGTTTTCCTGATAAGAAAGCCAAGGTGCAGAGGGGTTAATATGCTCAGAGTCCAAGGCCAGGGGCAGGGACTCAGGAACAGAAGTGTGTAGTGAAAGTGGCTGTTGGTAGAGAGAAGCCCAGGGCCGAGACAAGGCAGGGGGAGGATTGGGAACTATGGTTCTCACCTTGCGATCTGCAGAGTAGACAGGTCACCAACAGCGCTAATGACTACACTCAGCTCCAAAGAGTCTGATTTACTGGGGCTCCAGGCAGCCTGGGCATCGAGATTTTTTTAAAGTACCACAGGGTCTTTTAATGTGCTGCCCAGATCAGAACCACTGGTTCAGGAAGAGAGCTGTTGGAATGTGGAGGGGGAGGCCGAAAGTCCAACAGCATTCACAGGGAGACAAAGAGCCTGCCTCCTCCTTTCACTTCCGAATAATCGCTCCCACTTCCAGAGTTCATCACTTTTCAGGCAAGATGACATCTAGTTAAGCAGTGTCACAGATCCTTCATGGTAGAATAGATTATGTTTGCATCATCCTTAGAAAGTAATGGCATTCCCACTTTACAGATGAGAGAACGAGGACCCTGCTGCCATGTTCTCCAGATCCTGTCCATCAGCCACAGCAGTCAGGATTTGGAGAAGCAAAACTGCTGGGAGAACAGGGCTCTAGAGAAAGCAGTGGCAGGCATCCTCTCCCCACCCCTCTACCCATTTCTGTCTTCCTAGGCCTCTCTTGCCTCTTACTCCGCCTGGGACCACCCCACCCCAGAGTCCTAGGAGAGAGGAGGAAAGGACTGAATCTTTCTCACTAGGGCAGGGGCAAGAGCTAAGACCAGTGTCCATCTCTGAGAAACCGCAGGGGTGGGACAGGACCCTGAGGTCGTGAGTCTGGAGCCCTGGTGTCTGCCGGGTCTCAGTACCTCCATAGTGGTGGAACCTTAAACAACGTCCTTCTGGCCTCAGTTTCCTCGTCTGTAGCACGGAGAGGTTGGACCAAAGTCTACAGGTCTCAGACTGAAAGGCCCTCAGGTAGGCCTTTGGGTAGATGATGTGCAGGAAGGGAACAGACTAGCTGGGGTGGGGGAGCTGCCCAGCAAGCCCTGCCCACTAAACTCCACCCAGCAGTCACCTTTCCAAATTTGATAATCCCCGTTGGAAAGCTTGACTGCCCACTTTATAGAGAAACAGCGCCCTCTTCTGTAATACTGATGCAAGGCGACACTTTCGTGCTGAGCTAATTTAATACTTGAAGAGTGGATTTGTTTGTTTTCACTTGAAATAGATTTAATGAAGAATAATAAATAAAACCTACATGCATATTTATGGAAGTCTTGATGTGTGTTGGCCAGAAATTAGGCTTTTATGTATCCATTTGGGAGTAATTACTCTTAATCTATAACAGGAAGCCCAGGATTGCAGCAAGGAAGAAAACATTTGTTACGTCGACTGACAGCAATCTGGAATGGGCAGACAAGGAGAGGAAATTGGAGTCTAGGTCTCCAGACAGTGTTCTGGAAAGTCAGATTCTTTACAATAATGTATCACCAGTTTACGTTTTAATACTCACTTTCACTGCATCTCTTTAATAAATCCTGCCAATAATTCTCCAAGGCTGTTATTATTACTTCTATTCGACTGATAAGGAAGGTGAAGCCCAGAGTCCAAGTGACCAGGTCAAGACTCCTTGTCAGCTAGTTAATGGAGACTAACAAAGGCAGGTTTCTCAGCCTCTTTCTGAGCCTCAGTTTCCCTACTTGTAAAACATGGATTAAAAATAGCATCAGTGCTTGCAGCAAGGTTTGAGTGAGAAATGCACGTGAGGCCCTTGGCATGATGATTGGCCCAGTGTGAGCCCAGCACTCAATGGACATTATGACCATCCCAAGGAGCAGAGCCTAGGGCTTTCAAATCCTGAGCCTGCAGCTTTCTCACCATGTGTTTCCGCATCTTCAGTGTTCAAAGGAGGGAGCACAGTGGGGCTGGGACTGGTCACGACGATCCTCAAGCCCTGACATTCCAGTCTAGAGTGTTTGAACATCTGTGGCTTTGTCAATAACTGATCTTGAGATGCACCATAAAAGTGGGTCATGCTAACAGAAGAAGTTCTGACTCCTGTGAACTGTACACTCTCCACACATGCGAGGACTGCTATGTGTACTCCTGGGCTCCACATTTTAAGAGGAGCATTGACACATTGGACGGTATCCAAAGGGAAGTGGGGAAGAGCCCAGGAAGCACATTAGAAAGAAACTATTGAAGGAACTGGGGCTATGTGACCTGGAGAAACAAAGATGTAAGGAGTTCATTCATTCATTCATTCACTTGTTCATTCATTCCGAACTTTCAGAGCAGACACTGTGTCATATGCTGAGGACTCAGCAAAGCAGACATAACACCTTGTTTCATGAGACCCGTTCAAACTTACAGTAGGAGTGTCCAAAGGGAATGTAGACCTTGGGGTGGTTTGCAAGAAGCTTCCGGGTAGGGTGGTGTCAGGGCAGGATTTGGCCATCTTAGTGTGCTTTGGGCCTATACAGTGGATGTGTCAGCTCCCTAGTCAGCTCTGGAAAGACCCACCAGTGCTGCTCCTTATCCTATTGCTCTGGTGTGGAAGAACAAGGGCACCAAGGCTGGTTGGTCTTTGCCTTCCTTTCCTGAGGTTCTGTCTTCTGAGTGGCTCAGTGGCAGGACACAGTGGCCTTTTCTCTCCTGGTCACAGAAAATTCCTCTAAATAATGTCCCTTAACTACAAGGTATAAAGGAATTGACAGCAAAAATATTTGGGGTAGGACATGGATTTTTTAAAAGCCTATAATAAAACAAGTTCATCTTCATTATGGATGAATTAGAAGTACAAAATAAGCAACAGTAGTTGGGGGGAATCACCCAAAGATAACCACTGCTAATAATATTTTCTTCTATTATTATTGCCCTGTTTAGAATTTTGTTTTATTTCTAAGCATCACACCCTTAATTCTAGCAGCGCACATCTCAGATCCAGCCACCTCTGAGCAGCCCCACCTATGACCACATGAGGCTTTGAGGGGACAACTAGACACAACCATAACGAGGAGGAAGCAAACCAAACTGGACAACATGGGGAGGGATGGTGAGTGAAAGGGGAAGGGCTGTTGGAAAGGGCGTGGAGGAAGACCTAAAGATCAGGAGGTCCTCCCTAGGTGGACCAGAGAGGAGGAAGCAGATGCAACCAGACAGGGCACTACCTGGGAGACCCAGGTTTGGGGCTGTGAGTGGGTGATGGAAGGACTCAGTGAAGTAGGATAAATGTACACAGAGCTTGGGACGTGAGTGGTCTTGCATGTGCCCAGTGAAGGACGGCTGTGCCAACTTGTCTCTTGGCAACTCAGTACCACTGGCCCTTCAAAGTTCTGCCTTATACCATGGGGACTGGAAACTTAGGACCTATGTCTTGCAAAATCCCTACTTCCAGAACATATTCATTTGCTAGGGCTGCTACAACAAATTATCATAAACCAGACAGCTGAAACAGCAGGAATTTCTGGGGAGCTAGAATTCTAAGATCCAAGTATTGGTAGTGCTGGTTTCTTCTGAAACCCTTCTCCTTGGCTTGGGTATGACCACTTTCCTTCTTTGTCCTAATCTCCTTTAGTAAGGATATCATCTTATGGGATTAAGGCCCTGTCCATACAGCCTCACTCTACATCAATCGCCTCTTTAAAGTCCTGATTTCCAAATAAAATCTCAGGGACTGGGGATCAGGACTTTGATATAAGAATCCTTAGGGACATAACTCAGCCATAACACTGAGTTCCTGGGTTTGAGCCACCCATGCAACATTTGGACAGTAGAAGCGAAGCTTTGGGCTTTGGTACATGGCTGTGGACAGCCCCAGGTGCTGGCAATGCTTTCTTGCTCTTCCTGCAACCCTGATTTCCTGAACCTTGTTCTCCTTGACCTCCTCAAAGCTTTGTATGCTTCTAATTTTTTATATAAAATTCATTTTTGGCATTTCTATGGCTGTTAAGTGGTGTAGATCCTTGTTGAATGGAGTTTTGAGAGAACCATTAAAGAGAAGAAGGTGGCAAGTCAGGCATGATCAGATCATGGAGAAATGGGGTCTCGGACTTGGAATTGATCCTGTCCTCCAAGGCATTATAAATGTTTCTGACTGAAGCAATCCTAATGAAGGAAGGAATAGACTTGTACTCGCAAGGGTTCTGGCATCAACTGCTCCATTAAGAACATTCTTTGAAATCTTTCAACTCATCCAAGTTTTTCATCTCAGCTACAATGTTTTCATTTTTAATGTAATGTTTTTAATTGCTCACCATCAAATGGAATTAGCATTGTAACGCAATGCTATGTTTATCTCATAGTTTCAAGTAAAAACATGCCTGACAGCACAAAGTCTCAGCTATAACTAGATGCACCAGAACTTTTACTGCACTTAACTTCTGTTTCGACTGGGCCAAGCATTCACTAAAGCCATGCTGGATGGATCTATGCTGTGGATGATTAAGACTGGGTGATAGGATTTGGAAACTGCCATTATTCATACCTGCTGTTCAGAGTTCAGGGAGGCACTTCTGGGAAGACTGCCAAAAACCAGCTGTTAAGGTGGGACCCTCATCCTTTTGCCAAACCTACACCTTCCCACTGTGCCTGAATCCGTCTCACCAACCCATCAGGCTCATGATGGATTTTGTCCTCTGTTGCTGCTGTGGCCTTTGAATTCACAGTCGTGTTCAGCTGCCACCTTCATTCTCAATCCCATTGTCCAGAAGAAACACAGAAATACTTAGATGATTCTTTTGCCATTGCACATCTGAAGGCCTAAACAAAACAAAATGTACTTAAATTGAATAAAATTATAGGAACCATGAAATAATCTTCAAGGTGACGCCAAACCTATTTGCTTTCAATTCAGCTTCACATTGCAAACTTAGGATCAATAGGACCGTCCCTTACAAAAGGTGACTTCAAACACTGTGGATTTCAGTCAGAAGGCCAGTTCCCTGGTGTCTCTCCATTTCAGTTTCCTCAGTGGAACGTGTGACTAATGAGACCCAGTTGAGCCTCCCATAGAGTGTATAACAAGAATTGTATATAATACACATGGCACACAGTGGACGCTCAGTCGAGTGCCTGTTATACCTCAAAAAAACCCTACCTAAAGACAGAGTGTATGTCTTTCCTCAGGACAGTGCATAGAGAATGTCTTCACCTATTCAGTAGGGAAAATAATATCAAATGAATAGAATTGCTAGGGCTAGACGAGATAAGACAGACATTTTTTAGAATGATGCCTGGCATTCTCAGGAGTTCTAAAAGTGCTAACACTTTTCATCACAATTCTCATTTGACCATCCTAAAACCTAACATGCTTCCATTAGAATTCTAATCACCTTATATGCATGTGTTACATGTCTATCTCCTATGTGTGCTGGAGAATTTCCTTGGACCAGGCTGGCAGGGAGTGCTTCTCATAACATATTTCTATGGCTCCTCCTTCAGACTCTGAGCACACATCAATCTCCTGTAACAAGATGGCAAAGCCTCAAAGACCTTCTCCTGGTGTCACACCGGCCCCTGCAGCACATTCTATACCCCATAACATAGAACTGCAGCCAGTGCACATGTTCACTAAATGGAGAAGTCTCCCTGGGGGGATGAGCCACTGCCCCCATCAAATTCTCATTACAGCTCCACAATGGAAAGCAAGCAGCCCAGAGCTAAGTTGTCTTGCCTCTTCCATTTACCAGCTCTCTGGTTCTTCACCACTCAATGCCGCCTCTAAATCAATGGTGCGATAGAAATCATGATGCATCCACCTCCTGCATCAAGGACCCCTCACCCAGGTGTATGCTTTCAATTATCTGCAGTCAACCACAGTCTGAAAATACTAAATGGAAAGTTCCATGAATAAACACTTCATAAGTTTTAAATAACTTTATAAAGGGATTTTTATAATTGTTCTATTATTATTGTTATTCACCTCCCAATGGTGCCTAATTTATAAATTAGACTTTATCATAGGTGTGTGTGTCTAGGAAAAAAGCTTAGGGGTTCAGTACTATCCACGCATCTACTGGCCTAGGAACACACACCCTTGGAAAAGCGAGGCTGTTTTATGTTTGTTTTGAGAACACAGTAAAATAGCATATGCAGGCTACTTTGCATAATGCCTAGTACATAGTAAGTGCTCAATAAATGTCACTGCTGGAAAGACTCAGGAAGCTGCCCTTGAGCTTCGGTAGGTCTGCACGAGGGAGCCTGCAGAAATGATGCTGGGCGGATGGGATACGAGGTCCCTCTCCAGCTGTAACAGTCTCAGAGTTGACAAAGGGCTGGTGTTCATTTCCTTCAGAAGTTGTTTCATTCTCTTGCAAAGCCTCAAGGCAACTGCTGGGCTCCATAGAAAGCTGTCGGAAGCTGTGAGTCAACGGGCCCTCTGCCTCCTCCTCCTCGGAGGTGATTCACACCCAAAGTGTGCGGTCCACAAATGGTACGGGGGTGGCACCTCCCTGGGAGAGACCGACTTCAGCCCTGGATGAGTTGTTTGTGATCGCATGCTGCTCACAAGCAGACATGACAACAGATGCACCGATTAATTTCTCATCATGTTCCCTCCGTACTCCTTCAGGAGGGCACAGATTTTTCTTGAAAAGATACTGAATTTAGGAATGAGAGGTCCCATTTCTCCTGTCCCCCTGAACCTTTTTCTGGTTGACTAAAACTCAGAATGAGATGTGAATGCCTGTCAGATTCGGACCATTCCCACTGAGGTAAAGTGAGAGAATACCTGAAAAGCTGACTCTTGGGGAATTTGGGAGACTGCGTCCATTTTATCAAGCTAAACATTTTATCAGGATTTTTCAAGTGAATAACCGATTATTTTTCTGTGCATCCCTCGAGTGTGTTGACTTGTGCTGTGAAGGTGTACCAAAAAGTCTGAGTCTGGGCCTGTGCTTTGGGCAAGTTTGGGCGAGTTAGCCAACATCACAGCATTTCCACCTGCATTTCCTCCTATTATGTGGAGCCACCAAATAATGGCTACCCGATGAGGTTGTCACGGGCATTGATTGATCTAATACTGTACTACTCAGAGCGGGATGCTAGACAGAGCTGGCCTATCAACTTTTATGAGCCCTTTAATAGGTACCTACAAAAAGTGGTGGTGACTTTTTAGGAACTTGCAGAGCAACTGCACTTTACCACAACCTCTTTATTATTATATTTTGCAAAAGTATCCTTCTGTAGTAAATTTTAAAAAATATAATCGAGGGGCCGGGTATTTAGCTCAATGGTTTCACCACCTGCTGTGCAAGTGCAAGGACCTGAGTTCGATCCCCAGCACCGAAAAAAACAAAAAAAGTAATCGATTAAAAACTGTATCATAGCTTATGAGCCACTAATAATATCTCACTGAATACAGATGTATTCTAGCATCTGCTTGTTAAAATGTATATTGTTTTATTATAAATACCTTTCTCTTGTTTCTCCTGTATGGTTGTTTATGAGCTTAGTGTGTTCATAGCATGATTTTTATCTCAGGATGTTTAGTCATGTCTAAAATATGTATTATTAGAAGTAAGTGTTCTGGAGTTGAGAGTGGCATACTAGAGTCTTTGGCACAGGACTCTGGGTTTGGTTCTGGGATGGGGTAGAGTGCCTTGAGTTCTAGCTGCTAGGAACCTGGGAGCAGGACCCTCTGCACCCAGATCTCCTCTAGGTTCTGCTGTGGGAAGAGCCCCAGAGGAGGCCTTGATGGAAATCAGGATTTCCTGTCTACCAGAGCATCCCATAAGGCATAATAAGGGTTTTGCTAAAGATCAACTCATGAAGTATTGGACCAGAGCTAATATTGGACCAGTGAAACAGTCATCAAAATTATTTTCAAAGCTCCCTAGTTCAATGGCATCTAAAGAGCCTAATATTTTTTCTTCTGTAAAATGAGAGACTTATAATAGATGAATGGTACTTGGCAGAAATCACAAAGAATTTCCAATCAGACATAACTGGGTTTGAATTTTTTTTTTTTTTTTTTTACTGTATCACCTATTAACCAGGAAGCCACTTAATCTCGGGGTCTCAGATTTCCATCGACTATGTGTACCCAGGTGGGGATGGGGTACTAAATCTTATCCTGTGTCTCTAACAGGTAGGTCTGTGAAGCCTGGCCTAAAACAAGGATGGTAACACTTCTTAGTTCTGAGAATCACATGATATCTGTTTGCTATGCAGTAGTGGACAGCCAGAATGCTCCACGAGGGTAAAATATTTGGCTTTTCTAGCCTTTAATAACTTCTTAGTGGTTTGGAAGGAGTTTAACCTCCTTCACTCTACAGTCCTGAGTCACCAGGCTTAGGATATGCCAGACCCCTGCCTCCATGCAGCCCGCCCTTCTTTCCCCTTCTGTGGGCGAGCTATGAGCAACTCCTCCCTTCCTCCTTTCCCATCCCCTGCCCTGGGAAGTGAGGGCTGCTTCTCAGGAGAGCTATCTATCTTGCCCATCTTGCCTGTGCCTGGGTGCGGAAATCTGAGGAAGCCATTTTTACTCCAGGCCGAAGCTCCTTTCTTCAGGCCAGATTTGGTGTTTTCCTTTTCTCCTCTTCGGGTCATTTGGTTCAAAACCAATAGTTAGGCCTGGTGGGATTGCACCTCATGAGACCATGGCTCCCTTAGAGCTCTGACATGAGGCAGAGAGAATAAGTGGTCAGATTCCGAACTTGCCCTGTAACTTCCCTTATGTGCAATTCTTACCCATAACTTGTTTAATTTCCCCAAATTTACAAATCAACCAAAGCAAATATAATCGTGGTTGGTAAGGTTGCTAGTTCTCTCTTGACATCTGTGAGGCACAGTTTACACTACTTTTTGTAAAGAACAAACAAGAGAAACTTTTCACCAAAGCCAAGAGCTGCCATCATACCTTCTGCACAACTCAGTGTGGCTTTAAATTTCTTCCTTTGCTGTGAAGCTGCCAGTGCACATCTGCTTTATTGAATTCCCTTGGGCTTTTAGTATTGTTTCAGTTGTCCTACTGTTTCCAAAGATTCTTGCTGCTTGGGACAATGGAAATTCTGTTAAAGTGACAAATGTAGCATTTTCTGCCTATTTTCTATGATAATTTTAATTAATTAATTCATCCATCCAGTCGTTCATCCAATGAGTCTTTATTACTAGCCTGCTCTGGGCCAGGATTTGCAGTGGATCCTGGACACTGAAGTATAAATGGAATATCCTCAGGCAGAATATTCTGTACCCGAGAATGGGAACATTTGCAATACTGTGTGATAAGCTCTGCAGCCAGGATGTACGTAGGGTTCTGCGAAAAGAAGGCACAGCCCCCCAGGAAATTTTCTTCTGGTGCTTTTGAGCATTTGAGTTTGAGTCCACCTCTGAAAGTCCTTTGTGACTCAGCTACCGGGTGAGCTCTCCATCATATTTGCTGTCCCTCATTCACCTTATCTACAAGACCTTAGGTAACACAATTGCCAAAGATGAAGAATAACCTCTGGTAAAATGTATTAAAGTAGCAGTTGTGGTATCATTGTCTGGATTCATCTCCACAGCAGCAGTGTGAAGGGCTCAGTCCTCTCTGTTCTGCAGAAAAGGTGGCTGAGGCATGAACAGTTTAAGTAATTAACCTGAGGTCACACAGCTGAAAAATAAAATGAAGATATGGAAACAGGTCTGTGTGGGGCCACTTCCATTTTTTTCTCTACCCTGTAACTGTCTAGAGAAAGAGCAACTCCACCCCAGTATTTTACTGGTGATTATGATCAAGGTCATTGGAAATTTACTCAGAATGCTACTGGGAAATGAGATCGCCGTGAGCACTGCTCAGAAATCTTCCTGAAATGAATGAATCTGAAATGCTAGGAGTGGGGATTGGCCAAACTACAGAGAGGACAGTGTGCCTCCCAACAACTGGAGCCACAGACTCCAGCCCATCTCTCTCTGTCCCTCATCTCTGCTTCTCTGTGTCATGGCGTCGATCTTTCTAGCCAGGGTCCTGCATTGCACCCGCATTCCAGCAGCTTCCTCACCGTGGACTGAAGGGTGCCTTCTCCAGAGAAAGTTCGAAAAGTCCCAGAGTAGGGTTTTAACTGACCTGTCATGACCAGGGGCATGGAGTCGAATGCTACAGATAATCATCAATGTGCACTGGACTGTTGCACATTAGATAAATAAAATGTTTTTGGCAGGATCAGCTTCTGAAACAAGAAAATAAAGTGAATATAATTATATTAATCATGAGAGTACCTTGTATGAAATCTAACCATAGGGAAAAAACTTTAAAGTAAACTTGTAAATGTTTTCTCTGTATAGAACAGAGAAAAAAAATATTGGAAACAACTCAGATGTCCAACAATAGGGAGCCATGAGGTAAACCCTAATTGATGCAGTCCCTGAGTATTATGCAACCATGAAGAATGCGTATGCACAAAGTTTAAGAAGAAATAGGGGGCCAGGGATTTAGCTCAGTGGTTCTGCCGCCTGCCTCACAAGCGCAAGGTCCTGAGTTCGATCCCCGGTACCAAAAAAACCCCAGAAGAAATAGGAAGAAATTTACACAGATGTTCACAGCAGCATTATTGACAATGGAAACAATTCAAATGTCCATTAACTAAAAGGTGGGAAACAAAATGTAATACGGTTGAATGATTTTGGCAATGAAATGAAGTAGTGATACATGTTCCACATGGGTGAACTTTGACAATGTTAATCTAAGTGAAGGAAATCACAAATATTGATTGTTTTGTTTGGGGTTTTTTTGTTTGTTTTATTTTGTTTTGTGGAACTGGGGATTGAGCCCATGGCTTTGTCACTGTGCTACATCCCCACCTTTTTTCTAATTTTTAACTTTGACACAAGGTCTTGATAAGTAGCTGAGTTGCCAAGGCTGGGCTCAAACCTCTGCTCCTCCTGCCTCTGTCTCACAGAATGCTGGGATTACAGGCAAGCCCCACAGCACCCCGCTGCTTACTTTCATTTATATGAGCCAAAGGGTAGATTAAGGGCTGCCAGAGGTTTGGGAGTGGGGAGGTGGGGAGGGACTACTGATGAAAAGGGTTTCTTTCTGGGGAGAAGACAATGTCTTAAAATCAGAGAGTAGGATGGTCATTCAACTCTGTGAATATCATAAAAGCAAATGAATTGCAAACCTTAAAGGGAGAATTTTGCAGTATGAGAATTATATCTTAACATTATTACTAACACTCTTATTGGGGAAACAGCAAAAAGATACAGAGGTTGACAGTCTGGCAGTGTTAAAAGACAAAACCCAGATGTTATGGGCTAAGTGTTTGTATTCCTCAACATTCAAATGTTGAAGCCCTGACATGCAATGTGATGGTCCTAGGAGGCGGGACTGGAGGAAGATGGTAAAATTTAGATTAGGCCATGAGAGTGGGACCTTATGAGATCAGCACCCTCAGGTGAGCAATAAGGGCTCCCCCACCTGCCCCTGTGCACACCCCAAGGAAATGCCACACAGACATGTGGAGAAGGCGCTGCCATCTGTGAACCACAAGACAGGTCACCCCACATGCTGAACCTGCCCACACCTGGGTGTTGGCCTTCTCAGCCTCCAGACTGAGAAGTAAGTGCTGGTGGGTGTTGAAGCCTCCCTGTGTACTGTGTGTTGTGGAGGCAGCCTGTGCAGACTAAAACTGCAGGATACGAAAGTCACCGTAATCCTGACTAAGTGAGACAAGCAACATACAGCGAAATGGGGCTGTTCTCACTAAGCAGCCAAAATACTTTCTCTAACTTTTACCTTTTTAAAAGGTTTATAAAATAGCCAATACTGGCTAATGTCTATTGAGCACTTATTCCAGGCCAGGATCCAGGATTTCAATTTATCCTCACAACAGTCCTATGACACAGGAACTATAAATTCCAAGGTTTTACATGTGGAAAAAGTGAGATCAGGGAGATTCATTAATTTGCTAATGATCACACAGCTGCTATACAACAGAGTAAGCATTTAAAGCTCAGCCTTGACGCTACAATTTACGCTTTCAAGTGCCAAAAGTAATAAACTTTGTATTCGTTTCTGCTCTTTCCAAATTGACACTCCCCAAATCTGCTACTGCAAAATTTTAACCTCCATTTGTCTATTCATTTTGTCCCTAACAGGGAGATAACAGCCCTACTAAGACGGCTCAAAAGTCCAGGTTTCCCTGGGAGTAAATTCTCACTCCGAGGACGTGAACAAGTTATTAGAGGCCACGTTTGATTTGTTCTTTCCAAGGGCCTCCTTCATCCTTTAGAGCTTTTACTTTCTTTTAATACAACCTTCCCACTGGCTTAGCTCTTGAATCACTGAGGCCCAAAGTGGGGAGGACTATGAGACCATGCAGTCTAACTGTCCATGCTGTGTGACCTTCGGGAACCTCTCCAAAAAGTGCTCTAACTGTCCCTTGAAGGCTCCTCCAAGAGCAGCTGCAGCCCTCAACACCACAACCCCAGCAAGGCACAACTACAAGCCGAGTTGTGTTCTCACTTTGTGAGAATTTACTACAATCAACAACCAACTTTTCTACAGAGACAGGGTCCAGTCCTTTCTTTCCCTTTATGTAATGTGCTGCAACAAATTGCTAATCCTACATATTCAAGATATTTAAGTATTTAACTGTGGTAGAAAATGTCACCAGTGCTCAGCCAAAAAGCACACTGCATCAGGTCTGGCTGCTCTGACCAAGGGCTTCCTCTTCAATCTGCTTCTGCTCCAAGCTTCTATATCTCAGCAAATAGCACCTACATCCCTCGCATTACTCAAACCAAAAACCTAGGAGTTATTCTTGTTGCCACCCTCTCCCTCACCCCCACAGACAATCTGTCACTAAATCTTGGTGATTAAACCTCTAAAATACGTCTCTATTTCATCTACTTCTCTCCATGGCCACTACCCATACACAAACACTATCATTTCCCATCTGGACCCCTTCTGTCCCCACTTGCACAATAGTTCCCCTAAACCATAGCCCCCCACCCACGCACACTCCTGATCCATTAATTATCCAATACCCAAAATGATCTTTTAGAAAAGTACACTTGATCATGCCACTTTTTGGCTTTAAGCTCATAATGACTTTCCATTGCTGGCAGAATGCCATTAGAAATCCTCCCTACTGTTGACAAAGGGCCCCGTGCGTTGCCTTAAGCCTATCTCTGGGCTCCACCTGACACTTTTCCTATTTCAACCTCAGTGCCTAGGCAACTCCTGCTTGCTTTAGGCCCCCAACATCCATCATCCTGGAATATTCTCCCTGAAGTGCCTCTCTTCCCCAACATCTTACTGTAGCAATATTTTACTTCAATCCTTGAAGACTGAGCCTAGCCAGTGTCTTCGCAAACTCTTATCCAGGTAAGCTTGCATGTCTTTGTGCTAGTGTGGTGGTGTGCGATCTTGTTGAAAGAAAAATTCATCATTTCCATAAAGTTCATGTATGGCAGGTAAGATGGATGTGTGCAGCATGTGTAGGTACTCTCGACCTTTAACAGTACCTTCAAGGATAGATGGTCCTATTGAACCTTTTGCTGACACTCCACACCAGACATCCACTGCTGGTAAACTGACTGCTTTGTTCACATGCACGTCAGGATTTTCTGGTGCCCAGTAAACACAGTTATGTCAGTTCACTGTTCCAATTATCTTGAAGTGTGCTTTGTCAGCCCACACACTCTTCCTCAGAAACTCCTCATCCTCGCCTACCATATGTTGAAACCACTCATTGGGAGCGACTTCTTTGATTGCATGTACCAATCTTGGGATGTAAACTTTCCACTCACCTCTCTTAAGAATGCTCCATGTGCTTGCACTGCTTACTCCTGTCTCGGCGCACACTGTGCCAGACTTCTGTGGTGAAGGTGTGAATTGTTCCAGCACCGCCGCCAAGGAAACAGCACCTGCTGCTGTAAGAGGTCTGCCGGATTTTCCTTTATGCACATCCCACATGGTATCATGGTTTTTGAACTTATCCTGAATCCGTGCAATTGTCAGGTGTGTTGGAGGTTCTGTTCCCAACTCAGGCCCACATCATCATTGTACTTCACCGAGAGTCTTGAATTTGAAATACTACATTGAAATGTTCTTATGGTCCTTAATCGGTAACCGTGCCTCCTCCATTGTGTCACTGATGTTTATGTCACTTGTTGCAGTTGAGTTCCCCACATGTTCTCCTGATTTAACACCTGCAGACTTTTATCTAGGGAGGACCCTAAAGGATGCTGTATATTCCAGAAAACTCACTACACTGCCAGCTGTAGGGAAGAAATTGAAAATGCACATGCAGCAATCTCAAGGGACACTTTGATCAAAGTTACCCAAGCAGCAATTCGCTGGACTAATAAATGTCTGGGAGCTCATGGCCACCACTTTGAGCACCTCTTGTCGTTGTAGAGGCCAAAGGTAACTAGTATGAATCTCATGATGTCTCAATAAATTTAGTATTAAAATATTTATGCGAGTTCTTCTTTTCCTGAAGTGTATGTGAATACATAGAGCTCAGGACCACTGTAGTTTCAGCATTTCAGGCATCCACTGAGGATCTCGGAACATACGGGACATATGCCCTGTGGATAAGCAAGGACCAGTAGTAGTACAAGGCAAAGCCAGAGTGCTAGACCATTCACTTCTACTCATTATTCCTTGCCCAAGCTCTTGAGTTAAGGCAAGCCTTGAGCAGACAAAACAGAAATGAAGATAAAATCCCCACAGCAGCGTATGGGGAAAGGGTGGCATCTCAGATGACTCTGCTGCCTTCCCAAGGCCCAGGCAGTCTTGACCCCAGGCCAGGATGGGAAGATGCAGACACCTGAGGGGAAGCAGGAGGGGAGCCCCTACTCTGGGGCTAATGAGGTATAACCACTGCACCCCAGGCATTGGAGCCTTCCAAGTCTCTGGCTCCTTTTATGCCAGGTCCAGACTAAGGCTGAAAAATCCTAGTGGTCATAGTATAGTTTCAAAGGCTTAGCTGGATCAGCAAGAAGAATGCCCCAGAATCTTCGCTAATGCGCTGAGGTCTGTTTCCAGGACATGGGGCTTAGAAGCCAAGAATGTTATAGAATATCATCTGGGCCGCTTCACAGAGGGAAATCACAGCAAGTCCAAGGCATCGGTAACTATGATGGAAACCTGCTTCAGTGAGCACGAAATTAAATCAAATAGAGGCATGGAAAACTTTTTTAAAATTCTTTCCCATCCTAGGCGAAAACCACAGAGAATGTATAAGAATAATTACTTGATGTCCAACTTTTTTTTAAAGAATAAACACTTTCAAAGGGTTAGGAGAGATAGGAACATCAGGTGGTCTTTCCAACGCACCCTTACATGAAAATAATACAATAGCTAGACTTTCAAAATTACTACCGCTCACCTCTCTCTTAAGGTCTTGTGCTTTATTTGTATAAGTGTATACTTTTAAAATTCTGCCTAATAAATCCTTTTATGCCTTTTAAAAATTATTTCACTACTATGTTTACCTAAACACCGATTTTTTAAAAAGGGGTCCTTGTTTTTTCTCTTAAATGTCATAGAATACAACTCGTGGCATGGTGAGAAACAAACATAAAACACAAAGCAGAAATCCTCCATGTACTCAGTTCTCGAACTAGTATAAAAAAAAAACTTGGTGATGTGAGAATTATGTTGATGCTAATATACTCACAAGTATATTTCATTGTACTATGCAGGGCTCTGAGGTGGAGGACGAATCTTATTCTATGAAATGTCATATATCTAAGGTAGGATATTAGGAGTTATGTTAAAGCAGACGAAGATAAAGACCTGCTCAGTTTAACTCAAAAAATATTTGGACACATATGAATCGTACAAGTCCCAAAATTGTCTCAAGTGTCAAAAAAGAGTCAAAGTTGAACAAATTAGATCTTTGCCCTCCAGAACTCAGAAAAGTGAGGGAAATGAAGTTGAATCAATTTTCACTTACATATTTTCTCAGATCTTTGAAATGAGGACCCATCTTACAACTGATGCTTCTTTCGAAATGTATTGGCAGAGCTTTTTTTTGTTGTTGTTAGTGGCACATAAAATAATAGAATAACTTATTACCCATTGTAGGGAAGTTTATATTTGATGAAATATGGTAGTACAAGACAGAACAAGGTGCTAAAATTAAAAAGTTCAAAATTCAAATATAGAAGTACCACCCTTTTCTAGAAGAATATTCGTAGTTGAAGTCCTAATGAGTAAATGAGGGTAGTAAAATAAGGAATGATTACACCAAAGCACTTAGAAAATTGTTTACACTAACAAAATGATGACAATGTAGCTATTGTTATAACCTTATAATTGATAATAATAAATATTACACAGTTCACTTCCCTTTACTTTCTTTGCACACTATGAGCAGTTTTATTTTCTAGAATCTGATCTTTCATCCAAGTATTCATTTTTATCTTGATTGCCTGGCTCATATTTACTGTCCAGTACTTAGGCCACTGATCCCCAGAGGTGAGGGACAGTTAGGAAGCTTGAGATGATAAACAATAACCAGCAACTTTGGGGGAACATTTTTTCAATATTCTCAACTCAGTTCAGAGAGGTATTACTCCATCCACAAACCTTGCTGTGATGTTCACCTCCTCATCCCTCCCACAGAGCTCACAGTTCAGCAACAGCAGACAACCGACAAGCCCTAACATGCCTTATGATGTTCATGCCTCCTTGCCTCTGCTCATGCTTCTCCCTTTGCCCTGAATGCCTGTCCTTTTCTCTCCACTAGAGGAAACCCATGTTCAAATTTCAAAAACCAGGTCTACCATCAGTGTCTTTGCTTGGGCTTCCCTGGAAAGCAGAGTCTGAAACTTGAAGACAGTGGTTTACTTGGGAAACGATCCCAAGGATTAGCATGGAGGACTGGCAAGAGTGAAACAGTGGAGGAAAGACTGTCCATAGAACAAATCATTGCATTGCTCCCTTCTGTGGACACCTGGGGCCCCAACCCATGGGGACCATTTGAGGCTGTGTTGGGATGCACTTCAGAATTGCTACCTGTGGGAGGATGACTTATTCATCAGCTCCTGCTACCCTTGGCCATCAGTTGTCGCAGAGGATGTTCACACCCTTGATTTTCCAAGCCGGGCATGAGTCTGAGGAGCCCTGGTGCAGAAAGGAGAGGTGGAGAGTGAGGTCAGGTTATGCCTGCACCAAGATGATTACCGTGGTGATAGCATAGAGGGTGAGCTGAGGGGAAGTGGGCAGTGCACAAGAGGGCACATTCTTAACATGCACACACAGTTAGCCATCGGCTCTCCCTGTGCCAGGCACCAACCTCTGCTTTACAGCATCTGCCCTGTTGGCTTTGTAAAGGTCAACAGCTTATACAGTGAGCACAGACTTCCCAGCAGTGGTGGCAAGATCTCGTTCACCTCAAGGCTCCTGAACTCTGCACAGTAGCCGGCGCTGGTACATTGTCTTAGGACCTCTCAGTAGGATGAGAACACAAATGTTAAATTGATGGATCACTTTAGGGCAGCCACTCTTTTCCTTATGATGTAAAGAAATGCAGTGCAAAAATGGGGTTTGAAAACAAAGGTGGCAAAGATGCAGTCATCCATGAGCATAGGAAAAGGAATTATTTTAACAAAATTATCAGTTTTATCTGATAGGAGTTTTTTCCAAAGTAATCTGGCAACCAAGGAACATCATGTATGCAATATTGTGAACCATTCCGTGCATAACCCTGGGTAAACACATATTGCTAAAACCTATCTTTGATCTCACCAGATCCCAACAATAATTTCCTCATTCATTCAGAGGAAAATCCAGGGCTGTTACAATGACGTGTAAGCCCTACCACATGTGGCCTTTACCCAGCTACCTTTCTCTCTCACACCCTCTGCCTTGCTCCTTTCCCTCCACCTCCCTGGCCATGCCAGGCTCTTCTTTCCACCTGGAACTTGCTCTCTCAATATCCATTTAGCAAACCCTTTCACCTTTCCACATCCCTGCTCAAAAGCCACCTTCCCAAAAAGGCCCATCTGGGACCCCTATTTAAGTCCTACACTCCCTACTGCTCTAAACCCTCAGTCTCCTTATCCTACACCATTTCCTTTCCCTTTAGCACTCAATTCTCTTCCCACAAATACACTGTTAATTTTGGATGTCTATAATTTATTTTCTTTCCCCTTCTGCTAGAATTTGACTGAGGTAGAGAACTTTGTCTTTTTTATTCATTGGCATGTCCCAAGCATCTAGACAAGCATCTGGCACATTGTAGGTACCCAGAAAACACATGGAATTAAATATCTTGAAGCCCTAGAAATAGGAATGTATTTCCTAGTGTAGATGACGTGGCATTCATCCCTTCCTTGAACATTAGTTCGATACTTGCTAAAGGTAGGGGTAACACATATGCTCCTGTTCCTGGAGGAGCCCCCAGGCCCGTATGAACACAGGCAGCACCACAGTTGGTTGCAATCCCAAGTGATGAGTGCTATGATGTGAGAAGGCTGCAGGGGCCAGAGGCAGTGTGTGGCAAAGGGGGACAACTGACCTTTCTCCTAGAGAGGGTGCTCCCTAGGCAATGAAAGAAGAGCTCTGAGCTTGGTTTGTGCTCCACTGGGTAGCCATGGAAAGGGGAGCCAGCCCAGGTTTACATTTGATCTTTGTTAGAAATGAGCCCCCAGAATCAAAATTTCGGTGCCAGAAAGAATGAACTCAGATAGAAAGCAAGAGGACTCCACAAGGTAAAGTTTAAAGTTTACTTCTGCAGAAAGGAGCAAGTGCACTCAGACAGGAGGCTGCAGGTTCATTAAGTGGCAGGGAAACAGGTTTTAAACCCTGAAGCATGAGAAGCAGCTGACCTTTTTCCCCATTGGCCGGGTTGAAGGTTCACAGTCTATCCTGATTGGCTGGTTTAACCTGCAGGAAGGCTCGGCCTGAGGAGCTGCTGGGTAGAGTTGTTAAGGGAGGGAAAACAGAAGGGGAGAGGGTGTGTGGAAGAGAAGCTCCTTGGCTACTGATAAGCTATCTTGGTCTGCAACTAGGTTCCTGGAATTCCAACTTTCCTGTAATTTCCCATCATTTCAGAGTGTTTGGGAGGGGCTGCCTAGGGTGGACGAGAGCCTAAGATGGAGGCACTCCTGCTTATACCCTTTGATAGAAAAGACAGGACCACCGTTTCTCACATTTTCAAAAGTTCTTCAGAATCAATGCAGAATGAGCTGTTTTCCTAAACTTAGTTATTTGTTTTCTGCCTTCATTTATTTTCCCACAAAAGCAAACTCTTAAATTTCCAAGCAGTAGGACTTCATGTGTTACTCTCTCTCAGAAATGGGAAGGAACGCTGGACTCGGTTTAGGTTTATAATCTTTTCCCTTCTGCTAGGTTGTGATTATTGTCAACATCATACTTCAACTATTCATTGTTACTTTTTTTCTGAAATGTGGTAAAGTCCATATACCATAAAATTTACAACTGTAACCATTTTTAAGTGTACAGTTCAATGCCATTAAGTGCTTTGTGGTTCAATCGTCACCACCAGCCATCCACAGAACACTTTTTGTCTTACAAACTGAAACTTTGGATCCATACAACCCTAACTCTCCATTTCTCCCTCTTCCAATTCCTCATAACGACAATTCTGCTTTCTATCTCTAAGAATTTAACAACACTAGATACCTCACATAAGTGGAATCTCACAGTATTTGTCCTTCTGTGATTGTACTTAGCTTGATGTCCTCAGGATGTATCCATGTTGTAGCGGGTGTCAGAATTTCCTTTCTTTTAAAAACTGAAAAGTATTCTATTGTATGTATACTCCACATTTTGTTTAACTCTTCACCCATTGATGGACATCTGGGTCACTTCTGTCTTTTACTTATTGTGAATAATATTGCTTTGAACATTGGTGAAGAAATATTTCAAGTTACTGCTTTCAATTTTTTTGGATATATTTACCCAGAAGTGAAATTGATGTATCATATGGTAATTCTATTTTTAATTTTTTGAAGACTATTCATGCTATTTTCCGTAACAGCTACACCATTTTACATCCCCATCAGCAATGCATAAGGGATCAAATTTCCACGTCCTCTCCAACACTTGTTATTTCATCTTTTTTAAAAAAATAGTGGCCATCTTAATAGGTATGAAGTATCAACTGCTGTTAAAATCTACCTATATGTGGGCCGGGGATTTAGCCCAGTGGTTTTGCTGCATGCTGCGCAAGGACAAGGACCTGAGTTCCATCCCCGGTACCAAAAAAAAAAAAAAATCTACCTATATGCTTTCTCAGTGAAAAATCATTAAAGTGTCCACTAACAATGTGTTCATGAGATTTTATTGTAATTTAAAAAAAATCCTGGCCTTATTCTTCCTTGTTGATTTACTCATTCAACAAACATTATTAAGTACTTATTATATACCAGGTATTGTCCTAGATCCTGTGGACATAAAGAAAAGGTTTTTTTCCCTAACTGTAAGATGCCACAGTAACAGGACAGACAGACATCTCAGCCAATAAGAAGAGCCATGCTAGACATGTGATATAGTAGAAGAAAACAGCCCCACAGTCACAAACTACAGGCCAGATGTAGCCCACGTGAGGGTTAATTTGATTTAATAATTATTTTTTAATTTTTGAATTTGTTTTCACAAATTAATCTTGATTTGGGGCTTTCCTTAAAAGAAAAAAATCAAAGCAAGACATGGTGGCACATACCTGTATTCACAGCCTGTGAGGCTGAGGCAGGAGGATCACAGGTTCAACCCCAGCCCAGGCAACTTAGAGACTTAGTGAAACCTTACATCAAAACTAAAAGCACAAAAAGGGCTGGGGATATAGCTCAGTACAAGGGGGTGGTTTCAATCTCCAGTATGGGGTGGGGTGGGGGGAGTAAGGAAGAGAGAGAGAAAGGAAGGGAGAAGGGGAGGAGAGACATGGGGAGGGGAGGATCAAATCTAGCACCTTTGAGCCCGAGATCCAGAATGGCAATTGTACGCCAGAGCTGAATCAGAGCCCTTTTAGAGAAAAGGAGAAAGTCACAGGAAGCCAGAGTCCCTTGAGAATACTGATGGGCTGAGAGTGGGAGAGGGGGTATGGATTGCAGGCAGAAAGAACATTGTGGTTGTGGTCCATATTTAACTAATCAGCATCCATACACAAACTCACAGAAACTCTTAACACTTCCCTTTCCTATTTTGCCCATACCGATGTTTAATAAATATCTGTGAGATGAATAAAAGCATTATCAAGAAATAATACCCCTTGGGAAAGATTACTATAGAGGCCATTTAACCAACTTCACTTTGTAAAGGAAGAATCAGAAATCTACAGAGGCTGAGCCACTTGTCCTGTGTAATACTAACACAGGTCTGTCATGGCTAAAAAATAGACTAGACAAAAGACTAAGAGGAACAGAAAAGAATCACGACATAGAACAGTACAGTGGGCATCTGCTGTCTGGGCTGCCAGTGTATTTTCCCCCACCTCTAAAAATAAACATTCATTTCTCTTGGAGAGCCACCATTCCCCCTTGTTTCACGTGGACTGGTGGATTTGAGCTCTCCTGGCTACAAGGCTGGCATATGGCCTCAGACTGGCCATGCCCATCTACTTGGTGCTGTTGGGAATGAAGTTAACTCCTCCCATGGGGGTCACTGAGAAGGAAAGACCTAAGTCTGAATGATGCTACTGGTGCTCTACCTAAGACAGCACAATGTAATGAAAAGATGATAACTTACATTTCCTTCCTTCGTTTACCACATCTGTAAACAGAGATAACAATTCTTACCTCAAAGGTCATTGTCTAGCTGTACTGTATGAAAATGCCTGACACACAGTAGGAGCTCATTAATACTGACATATTTTTTCCTTTCAAATAATACCAGAAGGATGTAGCATTACCGTAATTAAAATGTAAGAAGTGGATTGGCAGACTTTCCTTATAACATATTGAGAACAGCTTTTTCAGCAGCTACCTTATGTGATTCCAGGGAATTGGAGAGGAAAAATAAAATAAAATGCAAGCTTCATTTCCTGGAACAACTCAAGCCATATCCCGTGCTTGCCAAGAGTGGCCCATAAGTCTATGTCGACATTCATCTATTATCTCACCTCTACATAAAGTAATTTTCATCCCACTCACTAGCTATTGTATACTTTACATGGGAATTCTTGAATCACTGGCAATCAACTAGCTGACAGTTCGCCCCATACAGCAACCATAACATTAGGAGCAGTTGTATGACACTTTCTGCTTTTAAAGCATTTTACAAATCTGAGCTAATTAGTGTGAATGCTAACATGCCAGCTTTTTATGGATTAATATTCCAATTATACTTTGCTTTTTCAATAAAAACACGGTGATCCTTTTTCACTAGAAAGGAGGAAAAATGAGTAATAAATAAGCTGTCTCCATGGTAGATTCAAATGCAATGTGATTGAAATATGAGACAGACATTTTATTGACTGAATGTTCCTCTAACAACATCCTTGAGGATTTATAGGTATGACACTTCATGCTAACTTTGAGGATCAGCAAAGAAGGCAGAAGGGTATTGATGGTTATATGAAAAGACTGTGTAAACCCATAGACTCATGACAAGATTCTAATCCTCCAAATAAATTTTCTAGACTTAAACACCTCAAAGAAACCAGAAAATCATCTACTTGTGATTTTTTTTTCTTAAACCAAATAATACCAGCTCATTATAGAGTATTGAAAAATACCTCATTCTTTCCATTGTAATAAGAAAATAGAGCAAGGAAAACTTGAGTAGGACTTGGAGCTCTGATGCACATCAACTTTCTAACCGAAACTCTGAATCTTCATTTCCCCACCTCTGAAATGGGAGTGGTAACATCTACTTGACCAGAATCTTGGGAGGCTCAAAAAAGACTTCGGTTCACACAGTATCTGGGATATGACATATGTTTAGACTAGCCCTAACATATGCTCTCTGCCCACAATTCATCTATGCCCTCTTCCATCTAAAATTTTTCTGACATTTCAATCAGTTTGCAAGAAAATAGAGCATCACAATGAATAAAAATGTTCTTTCCTATTTAACTGTTTGCATTTTAAAATATATAATTATATTTTAAGGGGGTGGAGAGTAAAAATAAAAGTTCTACTTGAAGGTAAAAGTCTAAATATATGATCACTTGAAAAATTTTCCTTTTAACATAGTTATAAAATTGTACAGACACCTCACTCGAGATTGGTCATTTTGCTCCCAGTTATTTGTAAAAAAAAAAAAAAAATAGTGAAAAGTGATGTGTGAAGGTACAACAGTAGGAAGACTGCTTGGAGCACCATGGAAAAGCCTATGGACTAGCTTGGCCTTTCTATGTGCAGAGTGGCCAGACCCCAAGGGACACTATTTGAAAGGCTCAAAGACTGATGTGGCCACAGGCCCACCAGATTGTTCCCTCAGTTGACAATTGTAACTTCCATGTGTCTGTAAAGCTCATACCACTATGATCTGGCCATTCTTTGATTTTGTAGAAAGAAAAACCACATCTGCAGGTGGATTGCTATCTGAGTATGGACTTGGAACAAGGAAAGGTAAGCATGTTTCCAGCATCATGACTTCAGGCCATGAGTCGTGGCATTTGTGACCACTTATTCAACAAATATCTACTGAATGCCTGCTATAAAGCCAGGACTGCCAAAGCCATAGGAATAGAGCAATAAAATACAAAATTCATCCTCTCATGGCACTTATCATGGCTTAGGTGGTCCACCTAATGGTATAGAAAATACTGGAATCTTCCTCCTTACCCGAACTCAGCTTCTTTCATAGACAGTCCTTGGAAAGGCACTGACAGCATTTATTAATGTGAATTATTTCGGCCTGAATTCTTTATAAATTTACTTGGATTTCTCTGTTCTGATGAGGTGGTCTCCCCCTTTAACTTTGAAGACAGGTATGTGTGTGCACAGACATGCACACACTAGAAAGACAGTCTGATGTGGGAAAAATAACATTTTTCAAGTTGGCATTGAGTTGAATTCCTGCTCCATTAATTGGTAGAACTATATCTCAGCAAGTTAATAGCCACCTCCCCATTTATTGCTTTACAAAATACAAATAATATATTAATACATTTAAAATTTTTTAACAGTCAAAGTTTGTTTTGTTATTTTAGTTATTGTGCTAAGGTTTATACTATATATAATATCTCATAATAGTATATTCAAGTGATATTTAGCATGTTATGATAGTATATTTGAGTGATACACTTCTCATATAGTGTAAAAACCTTACAATGTTGTACTTGCATTTCTCTCCTATACTTTACATTATTATTGTCACATATTTTATTTACATATATTATAAATGCCATACTACATTGTCGTTATTTTTAAAAAGTTAATACTCTTTTAAAGAGATTTAAATACTAAGGGGAAAATCTTACACATGTGCCTGTGTGGTTACTACTACCTGTGCTCTTCATTCTTTTATGTAGATCCAGATTTTTATTTCCTTCTGCCTGAAAGATGTCCTTTAATGTTCCTTATTCTTTTAAATTTTGTATATCCTTAAAAAGTATTTATGTCACCCTCGCTTTTGAAAGATATTTCCACTACCCCACTATGAAACTGTGCTGACTTGCAGGGATTCATCAATTTGGCTCATGATTCTGTTTGCCCATGTTGCCTAGCAGTAACAACAGAGACACACATACCTTGAGTTGGACATTTTTCATTCATTTCTTTTTTTTACTTTTTCTTTCTTTTTGCCCTCCTTTCTTGTTCTTGTTTTGTTTTTTTTCTTGATTGTTTGAACATGGTTTCTAGTTTGGTTTTTTTTTGTTATTCTGTTTTTATTTATTTTTTCCTACCTGCCTTCTCCACCATCTTCCTAAAGTTTGTCCTCTAGCCTTGCTTCTGATCTCTTCCTCTTCTTCTATCTCTGTTTTTTTCCCCTAACCCCTTTTAAATCTTCTTCCCTAAGGGTAAAATCACCATACTAAGGACTTATTTACTGTATACAATTTTTGGATACATTCTAAATTTCATTATATAACCACAAATCTAGTTCATACAGTTAAAGTTACTAAATTAATAGTTATCACAGTTTGTCATTTTCTAGGCTGTATTTGATCCTATTGTTATTGTTGATTGTACTACCTTAGCCAAGGTAACATAATTGTGCTAATCAACTGTTCCTCCTGGTATACCAAGACTGAGATTGCCTAAAGGTCGTAAAAACAAAACAAAAAAACCCTGTAGGCCAGTGCCAAAGAACTGGCAGCTGGACCAAGTAGCCAGAAACTTCTCATCCCCAATAAATTGAAGAGGTAGGATCTTGCAACAGACTCAAACCTGGAAGATGCTTCTGAGAAGTAGTCATTTCCTAAGAGTTTGAATATAGCAATAAAGCTACCCACCATAAGCAATTTACAAGTATCAACACAGGAATCAAACTTTAAAAAAATAGAAAATGAGAAGACACTTAAATAGGATGCAACCCCCACCCCAAAGTGTTCAGCTCACCAAAGGCAAACCAAGGGGGTGATGAGGTGGAACAGTCTGAAAGCCACTCACCTGGACTCTCTGAAGTGGTAACTTCAGAAGTAACAAAGCAGATGACCAAGGCTCTAGAAAAAAATCAAAGCAGAAATAATTTTCCACATAAGGACAGAGATGGTGACCAGAAAGAAAGACTTGCTCAGTGACCCTAGAGCAGATACAGATAAAAAATAGAAGAGCTCAGGATCATGATGGAAACCATGAACACCCAGCATAGAAGAGAAATAGAAACCATGAACACCTGGCATAGGAAAGAAATTGAACCCATGAAACAGATTCAAACAGATTCCCAGGAGATTAAAAATTCCATTTATAGTACACAGCAGAATGAGCCAATGTGAGGACAGACTATCAGATAAGAAGACAGGATTGCAGTTAATGATCATGAAAAGAGAAATTTCTTAAAAATAGCAAGGGACCAAGAGAGATCAATCCAGCAGCTACTAGATGATGCAAAGAAAAATAACTAAGATTAATTGGAGTCAATGAAAAAGCAGGAGATAGTGCAAATGACATTAAAAAAAATCTATTCTCAGAAATAATGGTAGAAAACTTCTCAAACAGGGGAAAAGAATTTGACATACAGGTAAGTGAGGCATATAAGACTCCAATTAGCCATGACCAGTAAAATCTTGCCCAAGGCATATAATAGTCAAGATTCCAGAAATTCAACACAAGGACAGAATATTAAAAGCTGTTAGGGAAAAGAAACAAATCTCCTATAAAGGAAAGCCCATCAGAACCACAACAGACTTCTCAACACAAACTCTCAAGTCAAGGAGAGCTTGAAGTGAAGTATTTCAAGCCCTAAAGGAAAACAACATCCAACCCTGATTGATGCACCCTGAAAAACTATCTTTCAAAACTGATGGAGAAATAAGATACTTCCATGACAAAGAACAGCTGAAGAAATTCATGACCAACAAACCAGCACTCCAAAGTTTTCTGAAGGATACTCTAGAAAAAGACAGCAAGGAGTACAACTCCCTGAACCCCAACAGAATAAATCCATTAGGCAAGGCAAGAAATTAAACAGAAAAGGAAAGAAGGAAGCCAACAACAGGAAAATAACATGACAGAATAAGACAACACATATCAATTATAACCATCAGTGTTAATGGTCTCAATTCACCAATCAAAAGAAATACACTGGCAGAATGGATCAAGAAGCAAGATCCAATAATATGCTGCATACAATAAACACATTTAATTAAAACACAATTTCAGGGCCGGGGATTTAGCTCAGTGGTTTCGGCACCTGCTGCGCAAGGGCAAAGACCCAAGTTTGATCCCCGGTACCAAAAAAATGAATAAATAAATAAATTCATAGACTGAAAGACAAAGGATGGAAAACAATATTCCATCTAACAGGAGCCCAGAAAAAAGCAGGGGTAGCTATTCTATTTGCAGACAAACTGGATTTCAAGCCAAGACTGATTAAGAGAGACAAAGAAGGTCACTCCATCCCTGTAAAGGAAACAATCCAAGAGGAAGAGATAACAATCATAAATATATGTGCACCAAATAGCAGTGCACTCAACTATAAAACAAATATTAACAGACATGAAAAATCATAATATAAGTACAAATACAGTTGTGATGGGGGACCTCAATACCCCACTATCACAAATAGACAAAAAAATCGACAATAAAGTAGTCAAACTTTTGAACAAATGGACCTAGTAGATGCCTACAGAGTGTTCCACCCCACAGCATCAGAATACACATTCTTCTCAGCTGCACATGGGACATTCTCTGAAATAGATCACATACTAGCTCATAGAACATGCTTAAGTAAATGCAAAGGAATTGAAATTATCCCATGCATTTTATCGGACCATACTGCAAAGAAATTGGAAATCAATGGCAAAAGAAACCACAAGAACTTTATAAACACAAGGACATGAAATAACACCCTCTTGAAAAACCAGTGGGTCACAGATGAAATAAAAGAAGAAATCAAGACAGTTTCTACAATTAAACAATAATGACAGTACAACATGCTGGAACCTATGGAACATTACAAAAGCATTCCTTCGAGGGAAATTTATATAGTGAACAACCGTATCAGGAAAACAAAGAGGGCTCACACCAACAACCTAATGTTGAACTTCAAGCTTCTAGAAAAAGAAGAGCAAGTCAAGCCCAAAGCTCATACAAGGGAGGAAAGTATAAAAATCAGAGCAGGAATTAATGCAATGGAGACTAAAAAAAGAAATATGAAGAATCACTGAATCAAAGAATTGGTTCGGGGCTGGGGACTTAGCTCAGTGGTTCCGGCACCTGCCTCGCACGCGCAAGGTTCTAAGTTCGATCCCCAATACCAAAAACACAAAAACAAAAACAAAACAAAAGGAAGAATTGGTTCTTTGAAAGATTAAATAAAATTAAAAATCCCTTAGCCAACCTTATCAAAAAAAGAGAAAGACACAAATCCATGTAATTATGAATAAAAAGGGTGAAATCACAACAAAGCCTGCAGAAATACAGAAGATCATCAATACCTACTTCAAGAATCTATACTCTAATAAGATGGAAAATACAGAAAAAATATATAGAAACATATGAATTATCAAAACTGAATCAAGAAGATATACACATTCTAAATAAACCAATATCAGCCAAAGAAATTGAAGAGGTAATTAAAAACCTACCAACAAAGAAAAGCCCAGGCCCTTACGGATTCACTGCTGAATTCTATGAGAAATTTAGAGAATATCTAATGCCACTACTTCTTAAACTCTTTAATGAAATTGAAAGGGAAGCAGTACTCCCAAAACCATTCCTGGAAGTGAGTATTACCCTGATTCCAAAACCGGAGAAGGAACCAACCAAAAAAGAGAACTACAGGTCTATCTCCCTAATGAACATAGATGCAAAAATCCTCCATAAGATACTGGCAAACAGAATGCAGCAAATCATCAAGAAGTTTATACACCCTGACCAAGTTGGATTTACTCCAGGGATCCAGGGATGGTTCAATATACACAAATCAATAAATGTAATGCACTATATTAACAATGACAATGACAAAAACCATACGATCCTCACAATAGATGCAAAAAAAGCATCTGACAAGGTCCAACACCAATTTACGATAAAAACCCTACAGAAAATTGGTATAGATGGTCTTTATCTCAATCTGATAGAAGGCATGTATGACAAACCATCAGCCAACATTGTACTAACTAGACAAAAACTGAAAGGTTTCACTCTAAAATCAGGAACAAGACAAGGATGTCCACTGTCACCACTCTTGTTTAATATAGTTCTGAAAACACTAGCCAGAGCAAGTAAACAAGAGAAAGAAATAAAAGGAATAAGGACCAGAAAGGAAGAAGTTAAATTATCATTATTTGCCAATGACATCATACTCTACATAAAAGACCCCAAAAACACCATCAAAAGACTTCTAGATTTGATAGCCAAATTTAGTGGTGCAGCCGGATACAAAGTCAACACTCAAAAAACAATATCCTTCCTGTACACAAATAACAAACTCACTGAAGAGAAATTAGAGAAACAACCCCCTTCACAATAGCATCCTCCAAATATGAAATACCTAGGAATCAATCTAATGACGGAAGTAAAGACCTCTATATTGAAAACTACAGTACTCTGAAAAAGGAGATGGAAGAGAATATCAGAAAATGGAAAGATAAAGATATCCCTTGTTCTTTGATAGGAAGAACAAATATAGTGAAAATGGCCATACTTTCAAAATTGTTATACATATTTAATGCAATACCAATCAAAATTCCAACAGCATATCTCACAGAATTAGAAAAAATAATCCTACTATTAATTTGGGATCAAAAGAGACCTAGAATAGCAAAAGCAATTCTGGGTAACAAGGGAAAGGCAGGAAATCACAATCCCTGACCTAAAATTATACTACAAAGCTACTGTGATAAAAACAGCATGGCATTGGCAAAAGAACAGACCTCAGGATTAATGAAACAGACTAGAAGACCCAGAAACAACTCCAGACATACTCAGCCATCTAATCTTTCACAAAGGAGCCAAACATTTTCACTGGAAGAAAGATGGCCTCTTTAAAAAATGGTGCTGGAAAAACTGGCTTTCCACAAGCCAAACATTGAAACCAGACCCATATCTTTCACCGTGTACTGACCCAAAATTGAAATGAATCAAAGATCTAAGTATTAAAATGGAAACACTAAATCTCCTGGAAGAGAGAATAGGTAGAACACTTGAGGACATAGGAGTAAGCAAAGACTTCATGAACAAAACCCAGACTGCATGAGAAATACTACAAAGAATCAACAACCTCATCTTATTAAAAATCTTTTGGACAGCAAGAGAAACCACCAACACAGTGGAGAGATGACCCACAGCATGGGAAAAATTTTTTTTACCAGGTATTCATCAGATAAAGCACTATTACCTAGAATATATGAAGAGGTTAAAAAAAAAAAAATGAGACCCTCCAAATTTTAAGATCCATTCCAAAAACTGGCATCTGAAATGAAAAGAGGTTTCTCAGGTGAGGAAGTAGAAACAGAAAATAAATATATGAAAAAATGTTCAACATCTCTGGTCATTTGTGAAATGCAAATTAGAACAATGCTGAGATTCCATCTCACTCCAGAAAGAATGGCTGCTATCAAGAAATCAACCAATAACAAATGCTGGTGGGCCTGGGGGGAAAGGAACCCTTCTCCACTGTTGGTGGGAGTGCAGACTGGTGCAACTACTGTGGAAATCAATGTGGAGATTTCTCAAAAAATTAAAACTAGAGGTTCCATTTGACCCAGCTATTCCTCTTCTTGGTATCTTCTCAAAAGAATTAAAAGCCTGTGCCTGTCTCGCAAGCGCAAGGTACTAAGTTTGATCCCTGGTATCAAAAAAAAAAAAAAAGAATTAAAAGCATCATACCACAGTGATATATGCACAACCATGTTTATAGCAGCACAGTTTGTAATAGTTAAGTCTTGGAAACAGCCCAAATGTCCATCAACCAAGTGGATAAAGATGTGGGGTTTTTTTATACAGTGGAATATTACTCTGCCATAAAGAAGTATGAGCTTCACACATATATAGCTAA